TTTTGACCTCCTCGCCCAGACAAATAGGATCACCCTCTTCATGAGCAAGTATTTTCCAATGAATGCTTCCCCTTATATAATGATAGCGTGGCAATGAATATGATGTCTTTACTACCATATGACAGCTTTCTGAAGATTAAGACAACTTGGAATGCTATTGACTAAGGATAAATGTGACAAGAAATAAGGGACTAATTCTTATGGTGTATAATTGTTATTTCCCAGATTAAGTGCTTATAGTTAACTCTTCTTATATTTTGAGAAAGCATATTTCATTTGAAGAGTATTTTGCATCTTTCTTGAGCCGAGGGTCTATCAAAAAGAGACCATCTACCCTTCCAGGGTAGGAGTAAGGTATGTGTACACACTACCCTTCCCAGACCTCACTTATGGGGACATCACTGGGTCTGTTGTTGTTGTTATATTTTGTTTGAAGAGACTTTCGGATTTTCAAATCACTTTACAGGAAATAACTCGAGCAGAAACAAGGCCACCAGAAAGGCAGGAACAAGGTACACTGGTAAAACCTAGATGTCTTTCCGTGTAAATTTCACATACTGGTGACATTAGATATCGGGATACAACATTGCACTGAACTTTCAAACAAACCATGGATATTTGCTCAAGTTATTTTGCCTATATGGGCAGTAATATTATGCACAAGTCATGAGGGTGATGTTGTGCTCTTTTTGATACATTATTAAATCGATACCAACTTTGGCACAAGCATGCAATGCCCTATGCCAGCCAGTTAAAACATTAAAGAGAGGAAGCAGCATACCATCTTCAAGAGACAACACAAATGCTATACAGAGATACAGTAGCAAGCATAATGATGAAACCCCCAGCCAAACCCTTAGTGCTGATAAATGGGGCGTTGCGATGGCAAAAAGCACGCATGTGAATCCAGCGATCGCTATGAAATGTGGCAGCTTCAGCTGATGGTCATCGCTAAAGAGAAGATAGAAGGCCTGGCATGGCAATCAAGTCAAAAGAGTATGTACTAAAAAAGGTTAGTTTAGGTATTGTATTCACAAGAGATACACAAAGTAATCATACCGTCAAAATCTACCAAGATATTTGCAGCAGAAGAACTAAACAATGAATCAAGCCAACATCACAAAACTGAAAATGTAAAAAAGACTCAGTTATTAATCATCTTTATCTGGCAACTCCTTACACCCCCCCCCCCCCCCCTCCCTTCTTGTCCTTTCTTTTACTCGGAATAATCCTTCTCTTTCATTTTGCCTGGGTAGAGGGGAATGGTAATGGTTCTGCCAAAGTGTCTCATCGAATAAATGAGAAAAGAAGGTTTGGAGGACAGGAAAAGAATATATCTGACCTTCAATGCTGAACCAGCCATGATAATATATCCAATATTTATCAAGAAGAGGCTCGCATATTGCAATGCCCAGACAACCAAGTATGCTGTCCTTCCTGCAGCAACAAAATAAGCTCAATTTTATTCAAACAAATAATTGATCAAGTAATAAAAAGAATGATGTCGGATGCCTGCACATCAGTTGATGTGATTATTATTTGTACCATATAAATATCCTGCAAGGTCTCTATATCTGATATGCCTCTTTCCCCCAACTTCATGGAGTTTGGCAGTAAGAATACTTGCGTACAGTGATACCATTGTCGATAAAATTAGACCAACTATACCACCTATCCAACCTAGAGGAACCATGATTGTGCCAGAATATCCCAGCGCGTATGCACTGTTGATACCCATGCTGATAAGAATTCCCACCTGAAACCATGAATCTGGAAAAAAAAAATGGAAACGCAAAATTACAATGAGTCAACAGCATTGATGCCAATGATAGAGTTACAGAAAAAAAAACAGAGATACAGAAAAAACAAAGAAAAACAGGTTCTTTTATAATATCATAACACATCACAAAGTACTATTTTCTTAATTTTTCAAAAGATAAAATGGAAATAAAGGTGGAGTTTTTCCATGAAATTCTTTTTGAGATCTTGCAATATATTTTTCAAAAAACTTTTTTGTTTTAAGTTTTTGTTTAAAAAAAAAACTGTCTTTTTGAAGAAATGGTTTGAGGTGTCTTTCAAATAAAGGTTCTGCTTCTACTCATAAAACAGTCACAGGTCTTTTAGATAAAACAACAAATATCCAACCACATTTCCTTTTTGCACAAACTTTTTCTTTGAAAACATTATCAATAAGCTTTTTCCAAAAGTTGTCCAAACGGCTCATTCTTTCTCTTCACTTGCCAAAATTCAATAAAATTGGAATCCAAACAGATGCATTATAGTTATGTAACAAATTAAATTCATATAGATAGAGTATACGCATGGATTAATTTAGCCATTTGAAAGAAGGGAAATGGCTGAGGACATGGCCCTTGACAGGGAATTATGGAGGTCGGGCATTAAGGTTGTAGGTTAGGGTAGAGTTACGAATATTTCTACAGCACAATAGAGTGAGACTAGCCAATTAGGAGTTAGACTAAGAATGTCATTGGTCGTCTATTGATGCAGGGTTTTACCTGCTAGTTTTACTATACCAGTCATCTATTTCGTATTTCGTATTCTGTATTTCATATCTCTTATTATGCTGTTATTTTATTATGCATTTTTATGGTACTAATATATCGGCTCCTGTTGCTTTTTTTTGAGCCGAGGGTCTCCTGGAAACAGCCTCTCTACCCTTCGGGGTAGGGGTAAGGTCTGCGTACATATTACCATCCCCAGACCCCACTTGTGGGATTATACTGGGTCGTTGTTGTTGTTGTTCTTGTTGAAAGAAGGGAAAAGTTAAAAAATGCATAAACACAATAAATTTCTCATTTTAATTCAGTTTTCTTAATTCTTGCAAGTTACTAGACAAAAGCACCTGAGTCAAATGTAAGTCTGTTCTATTGGATCTTTTATAAAGTGAGCTTTATGTGGATTCTACAAATTATCATGTATACTGAATATTAATGACAACTTTACAAACATAGGGTGAGGTGCTGTTCACACACAAATTACTGAGGCAAGAAGTTGAAATGTGCCAGCTGAAATTAACAGATCAATGGCCTCAATTTGTAATTGTCATCCTTTTTTCATCGAATTATATTCAGAAAGATCATTTAACAAAAAAAAAAAAAAAAAAAAA